CCCAGCTCGAACCCTCTGGGTTCCTTGTGAGGAACCTGATTTGGGTTCCTCATCGAACCCAGAGTTGGGTTGTGAGGAACCCGATCTGGGTTCCTCACGACGAGGAACCCAGAGTCGGGTTCCTCACGACGAGGAACCCAGAGTCGGGTTCCTCATGGGTTCCTCCCGAGGAACCCAGATCGGGTTCCTCCGGAGGAACCCAGCTCGAACCCGATCATGGCCACTCCTTTTATCCAGTCCATTTTCTAGCCAAAGAAGATAATTGCGATCACCGGGACCACCGGAAGAGCCAAGGCGTTTATAACATTGGAGAACAAGGAAGATACTTCAAAAATCAACCCCACTACACCAATTGTAAAAACTTGCCAGGAAATGCCCGTCCCAAGTAAGTTCATTACATATGACATCTTCCCTAGTTCATACCCTTCCATCTCTCCTTTCAAACCCTTCCACTCGCCGCTAGCAAAAAGTCCGATCATAATTGCAGTAGTTGCCGCCAATGCTTGGAACATTATCATATCCATGACAGCCTTGAAGGTGTGTTTCTTGATAACTTTATAGAAGGCGAAGGAGATCTGGGTTCCTCGTCGTGAGGAACCTAGCTCTGGGTTCGGGAACCCAGCTCCGGGTTCCAGAACCCAGAGCTCTTGTTCTAAATTTTTTTTTTTTTTGGTGGGGAAGCGGGGATAAGCGGGAAAAATCCGTGTAGTGGGGCCCATTGCACACGTGGCATTCATGTGTGCAGTAAAGAAACCACATCATCAAAAAACAGATCCACATATGAACTTAACGAATAAGGAAACGCTGTAATGGCCACGTCAATTTCTGATGCCACGTAGTGTATTTTTTAACGGTGCTGTGACGGTCCGTTAAAATATTGGGTTTTTCACGGGTTTTGAAAAGTGGAAGGTGTGAATAGGGAAGAAAAATTCTGGAAGGTGTTGACCGTGAAAAAGAAATAAATGGAGGGTGCAAATAGGGGTTTTGGCCTAAATAAATATTGAAAAAAGAATGAAAGATCAATATTCATGTCATGAATCTGGAAGATGTTTTCTATGTGGGTTTTTAAATGATTAAATTGTAGGTTAAATGTTAATTTTGGTCCCTCAATTTTATGGTTTTACACTTTTTTAGTCCCTTAACTATTTTTGCATTTTTTTGATCTTTTTGATCTTTCAACTCTAAGAACTGCACAATTTTGATTTTTCTGTCAGTTTGGACCGTTAACTCCGTCCACGTGACATTTTTTATATTATTTTAATGCTATGGCAAATTAAATTAGAATAAAACGCTTATATGGACAAAAAGTGATGTCAGGTCAGATTCCACTCACTGATCATCATTTGATTTCTCAATTGGATTATGGACCCCACCTTTTAATTAATTCATTAAACTATAATTACTTATTTTAATCAAAATTAAGATTCCAATTAATTTCTAATTAAATCACAATTTTCTCAACAAATTTTCTTAACAACCATGACAATTTTGTTGGCAACCAAACACCTATTAATACAATACTTATTCCAAAACACTAATTGAAACCATTTTCTCAGTATCCAAACACCCAAACTGTACAATTTTCTAGCCAAGCAAATGGAAACCCACCGAAAATTGCTTCTTTGCCCATCATCCACTACTTCTGTTCTTTCCATTGCAGGCGATGTTCTTTCCATTTTGAACATCAAAATCATTTAGACAATAGTTAGGAAATATGAAGCAAAAGGATCCTGAAAAAATCCCTCACAACCTACAATTTGCATAAACTCAATTGCTTATTTGCAACAAATAAAAAAAAAAAAAGTGGAGTTGGGTTTGACGGAACCCAATAGTTGCTGGGTTCACACAGAGGAAGAAAGAGAGGAAGAAGATGGATCAAGAGAGGGAGACAAGGGTATTAAAGTAACTTTATAGTTTTTTATTTTTTATTAAAAATATAAATGCTAATCTAATTTGGCATTTAATTTAGCATTTTTATTTGTACATGTAATTAAATTATATGATGTGTTATTGTCATGTCATAAAAAAATTAAAAGAAAATGCCATGTGGAATTTTTTAACTACCATGTCATAGATAACTTACGGAGGGACCAAAATTGTGTAGTATTCAGAGTTAAGAGATCAAAAAAGTGCAAAAAAAAGGTAAGGGAATAAAAAAGTGCAAAACCATAAAATTGAGGAACCAAAATTAACATTTAACCGATATTGTAAATGTTGCTGAACTTGTAATTATGATACTTGTCCTATTGCATTCTTCTTCTACTTTCAGTGGCTTGCCATCAGGACTCAACTGTCTTCAACGAAATTTTCCTTGCAATCGTGGTTCTGGAAGTAGTAAGTGCAATTAAAGTTTTTAACTTTGTTTACAAAAGTGGAATCGAAGCTAGAATATGAAGGATCTTTCTTAGTTGATTTATTGACAAAAAATTGAATTCTAAATCATTGTTAGTTGGGATGGATTAAAAACTGCTAGAATCACTTATTATTATTTTGCAGTTAATAGCCATTAAAGGTAAGGTAAAAACAAGTATTAGATCAGTGCATTTAATACTCAATGATTGTGGAATTGAGTGATAGGTGCTTGGAAAAATGTGAAGAGAGGCACATCTTATCTGTAAATCCGGAGGTATATTACCAAACAAGCTATCACATTAGCATGGTAGAACAAGGCAGACACAGGCTTAATTTTCACTGGGAAAATGAACGGAACCAAATGAGAAATGGGGCCTAGGCTGACATATTCAATCTAAAACCAATTGGTAGTACATGGAATCATGGAAAGGCTCGTCTTATTTGTTGTCCAAAGGTTTTCAAATTAAATTGCCAATTACCAAAAGCAAATTGGGTATGAGATATAACTGGAGGAAACAAAGTGTTTTTTGTTTTTTTTTTTTAACAGAAGAATGTGCACAGATTAAACCTATTTAACTTATTTTACCTTTTGGTATAACATCAGTTAGGTCATAGGCTGGCCTTCTGTGCTGGGTAAGAAATAAACTAGCTTTACAAGAAATGGATCCAGTCCCAAAAATGGTAGTTTTTTTGGTTGTAAAATCCAAACCATCAGATAAGCACTTTAGGAATATGTTCTAGAACCCTAAAAAATTTAGAATTTGATGAGCATTGTAAAGTCAGGCGTGTAAATAGATCAATGCATTGGAGTTAGGAAACCTTTCTCCTAAGTTAAATTATTGAATCCCACTTTCGTTTTGTTCTACAGATTATAACTTTGGAATTAAGTGTGGTGGTCCAAGGATTACATCCTCTGATGGAGTTGTGTTTGAGAGGGATGATCAGATTCTTGGCCCAGCCTCATATTTTGTGAGTGACACAAACAGGTGGGCGGTCAGTAATGTTGGATATTTTGCTGGGAACAATAATCCTCAATATACCAAGAATTCATCATCTCAATTTACAAACACTCTAGATTCACAGTTGTTTCAGACAGCACGAACCTCTGCTTCCTCACTAAGGTACTATGGATTGGGGCTCGAGAATGGCAATTATACTGTGAGCCTCCAATTTGCAGAAATTGTGATTGATGATTCTACCACATGGCAAAGTCTTGGGAGACGGATTTTTGATATATATGTCCAGGTGCGTATATTTCTTAATTGTTCTATCATATTGCTCTTCAACTTTTACCACACAAACTATAATACTATCCTTATTGCCAATAGGCCATGATCCATCTAAGTTTATGATGCCAGGAATGGTTACTGTGACAAAGTTCACTACATTTAATAGAATAGAATTCTTAACCTTTCTTCAATCTGTAACTGAGTATGATTTAACACATTTAATGAATTGCTTTTAGAAAACATTGGATAATGACTTTTGAATTCCTAAATTCCTAGATTCAATTATCCCTGCCATTTTTAAAACTATCTTCCAAATAACTATTGCCACTGGCTCTTTAGAACCTATTTGTTTTCTGGATCCTAAGCAATTTCCCAAATAATTGTCGAAATTATAAAAATTTTCAAATCTCAGCTACGATCTGGTTTAAGAGAAGTGACTGAAATTTTGGTTAATTATATTTCATTCCTTTGTTATAAGAATGACATTTTCCTTATCTTCATTGTCTGCTTAAGTTTTGACTCAGTTCATTACAGGGGAATCGTGTTTTTAAGGATTTTAACATACTAAAGGAGGCAGGTGGATCTTCTAGACAAGCTGTTAAGAAAGATATTACAGCCCAGGTGTCTGGCAACTACCTTGAAATTCATCTATTTTGGGCTGGAAAGGGGACTTGCTGTATACCATTTCAAGGCACATACGGACCTTTGATTTCAGCAATCAGTGCTACTCCAGGTAGGATAATTTACAAATTTTCTTGGTTTTGTTGTTTATCGTTGCATATAAGTGTAGTATGGTTGATGGTTGACGCATGAGTCTTTATACAGATTTCAAACCTACTGTTAGTAATAAGCCTCCGAGCAGCAGCAAGAGCAGAACTGGTCTGATTGCAGGGGTTATTGTTGGTGTTGGAGTTGTCAGCTTTCTGTTTCTTGCAGCATTCTTCATTTTTGGGAGAAGGCCAAAAACTAATGAAGATGAAGGTGGGCATGAAAATCCTGTTTCATATACATAATACTGTTCTAATTACTTAATTTGTAGTGGTGCATAGAAAACTTCTTTTAGACATGCGTGGTTCTATTCTTGTCACAGTTTTGCAATTAGTGTTTGTTTGCAACAGTTTATCTTAAGTGTTGTTATGAAATGCTTTCTTGTTCCACAGAAAATTTTCACTTTTGATTTTTTTAATTTCCAATGCATTCTCAAAATCCCAATGGAAAATAATTTTTGGAGTTTCTTTTTTTTTTTACTCTTTATTTTATTTTTCAAACACCAGTGTGTGGTGTTCCTTTGTTCCAGAGGAAGAACCCTTATATGCAGCAAGTGAGCAACATTCTTTATTTTCCATCATAAGACCGAAGATGTTAAAATATTTCAAATGATTTTGTAGCCATTTGTCAGCTTTGACCAGAGAAAATTATCAATATGCATCTTCAAGTAAAACATTTAGTGAGGGCATGTATTCCAGCCCATGTCTTCTCATAAAAGTTCAATCATGTGTATGAACACCCTGTTCCTACAGTAAACTTTGTTTCGTTGGACAAGCAGAGCTCCAAGGAATAGATATCAGGCCATATACCTTCAGTTATGCTGAACTAAAATCTGCTACAGAGGATTTTAATCTGGCAAATAAGCTAGGAGAGGGAGGATTTGGGCCGGTCTATAAGGTAAATTATTGTTCTAATTAATGACTGACATGGGGTTGACATGGGGATTAAAACATCAGGTATATTCAAAATATTTATCAGATAAGAAGAGTGGGGTTCATTTCATATATTCATGGTGGCTGCCAACCTGTGATTAACAGATTGCAGCTAATTTTTTCATATAACATTTATTAAGAATGAGTTGTACCCTTATTATTTGCATTTATTGGTTGGCGGCTGATATTATTATCATAATTGAGCATACTTTACAGTACTATTTTTTATAACTTGTTCTCTAGTGCAAATAGATATAAATTTTGCTAAAGATAACTGAAAACTGATGGTTCTAGATATTAGTTTTGATGCAGGGAAGGAAGTAGAAGAGATGAAGGGAGAGGAAGAGAGGGAAATAGGGAAGAGAACTTGAGGAAATACATAGGAGAGGGAAAGTATTCAATTGAGTGAAATCATAAACATAACTTATGATAATCCATAAGAGTGCAATAGTAATAGTCTAAAAACCCTAATTCTTGTTTTATAAGGAATCTAAATAAAGAGATAACTAAGTGTAAATGAAATTCTAATTGAGAAAAGGAAGCTGACAACCAAAATGGTTGTGTATTGTAGCCCTGATTGGTCATGAGATATGGAGAAGTACTTGAGATAATCAGATTGATTAAACTTTCTATCCCTTGATTCAGGGATCCAATTAGTGAGATGGGACACTAGATGGGTTATTCCTCACTTTTTGTTGTAGCCTGTAGGAATAAAGAATGAGGCTGGAGCGTGGAAGTCGATTTAACTATGACACTAATGAATAAATCAGAACAATATACAGAATCTTAATGGGCTAGGTTAGCGAATTCCAGGTTCACATCTTGGTCAATTTATTGATTAAACTGATTTTATATGCATCGGCTTAAATATGGAACTGAGTTTTTCATCTGGTCTAATGATAACATGATTAGTTTTGTTTTATGGCGCAACATTGAGAATTTAATGGATGGAGAAAGCAAAATTGATAACTCTTGCAGATAAAAAGTTTTTTCCAGAGAAATAGTAGAGATTGGGAACATTGAAGACAAGAATTCTTTTTATTTGGTTACATTGTATTCTATTATTAACTTGAAATATTTTGTTCCCTAGGGAAAACTTAATGATGGGAGAATAATTGCAGTGAAGCAATTGTCTGTGGCATCACGCCAAGGCAAGAGCCAGTTTGTTACAGAAATAGCTACTATA